TTTTCTGCAGCCTGAAAAGCTGGCCTCACAAGGAATCTTATGGCTAAGAGTTCTTCCCATTATCTATACCCTGTGAGATTAATTATTGAGCTGGGATGATTTCCAATAGCATTAAAACAGGAAGTAGAGCATACCATTTTTGCACAGCAAAACATGTACTATTTTTGTATAGCATGTTTTCTTTTGAGAATTTTTTGGATACATTTCAAAGAGAATATAAATCACAAGCATGGTTTTATTGGTTTGAGCCATGTACTCTTTAGCTGGGGTCCTGTTAGTCATGTTTTGAGGTGTTAGTGGCTCTATCTGCTGAAGTCTTTCAATCTGCCCAAGCCTGTTGTGTTACTACAGTGTGAGAAGGCCTTGCTGCTGGACACTGGAAGAATGGATGTGGGAGATCTTTTGCTTGATGAAATATTAAGGGTTGAGAAGAAGAGGCAGGGACAAGGGATAATTCTCTATGGTAGTGAGCTGTAAGTTAGAAAACAAAAAAATCCATCTGTTAGGGAGATGTGGTTGGTACTGACAGTTTTGCCATCTCCAAGATGAGGATCAGAGGAACATGCAGGGGAACAGCTCTTTGGCCAGACCAGACACAGCCATCCTATCCACACAACAGCAAGTACAACACAGAGGCACAGCTCCACTCTTTTGGTGGATAACCCTCTCACTGATCACATGCTGCGAGCCCCTTGAATAGGACTCTGTTCAGAGAGAGCATTGCACTGCAGAAAAGTATGGCCTGACTCAATTTTATGTCTAAACTACATTAGACCATTTTGGCAGTGCCAGCAGGTCAGTCAAGTGGGTATAAATAGGAGTCAGCATTTGCGACAGCTCTAAAAGAACAAGGAAAGCTCTGGCAGCTGAGCAATGACTATTCAGCCTGCAGTGAAAATTTTCTTTCCTTTATTTTCATTGGCACATTGTGTAATTTATATGGCAGCTTGAGTATTTGTGATGCTTTGTAACAGATAAAACATTCTACTAACCATGAAGGGAAATAAGACTTGAAGAGACAGAGAAGAGTTCAGGTGGAGAGGATGCTTCAAACATATAGAAAAGAGGGGGGAAAAAGCCACTGATGAAATTAAAGAAGGTATTCAGTGGCATGGGAAATGGAATCGTGACGCACTGGTGCATGCTTATGGAGCAGAATACAAGAGAAGAAAGACTGAATACAAAATTGCATTATCTTGAAGAGAACTAGAAGAGGGGAGTAAAATTAAGGGTAGCAAATAATCTTGGTGGAGAGGGGAACTGACAGCAGTGGTGACCAATAGAAAGGAGAGGCTGTCAGTAATGGGCAAGTCTGTGCTGCTTAAGTCTGTTTTAAATCAATCATGGAGGAAATAATTTCCTGAACTTAAATATGGTAGAGCTGCTAAACCCTGGACATCCTTGCAGAAGCAGGTTGGTCAGGACACAGAACTCTGTCTGCTCAGCAAAGTGAACACAGGAGAGAATATACAACGTCTTTCTGCAACTTGACAAAACAGAGAAGGGTTGAAGAAAAGGAATTTGTGAGCAAAACAGTCTAGAAAGGATGGGCTCTCTTTCTTTCACCCCCTAAACAATATCTACTGTCTGCATGAAATAAAAATTTAGATTATAAAGTGTTTTCAAAGTCCAAATTGTCTTGATGTACTAACCCTGTGCTTTATTTCTAGGAAAGATGCAGGAAACAGCCTTTTCTAAGTAAAATGAAGGATATTAGTGAATGTTATGTAATGTCCTCATTGCTAGAAATGGTGATGGCTTATTGTAGTAGGATGTTTATGTAACTCTCCACAAATCAGTTTTATTTGTACTAAGTCACTGCTTAATAAAACTTAGAATTCACATGGCATTAAGTGTTGTTTATTAGGAAAAACATTTGGATTTTTGATGTATGCCTTAGAAGCCTCATCCTTCCAGAGCCATTCTGAGTGTGCTACCATTGTTCCTTATTTAGTTTTAAGGGAAATATCTGGTTTTTATCAGCTTTTTCCCTGTTGTTCTGGGGATTTCTGACTGACAGCTACATTCTTTTTCTTGATAAGTATGAATGAGAGATCATCTTAATGCATTAAAGTTAAATACAGATTGAAGATAACTCCACCCACATTCAAAATACAGAGATGTTCCATCAATTCTGTTTCAACAGTGTTGAAAATTCTCTGTTTCTATCAGGGTGACTCAGTTCACTCTTTCAAAATAGGCTGAAGAGGCTCAAAGTATTTTATTTAACATCTCTGACTTTGCTGAGACTTTGCTGATCAATATTACTTCTGGCTTGTGCAATTAGGCCACCTTAATATTTTCTCAGCTTTAAATTTGCTTTGAAGAAACCACACAGAATCAATTCGAAGTAGATCAGATATGTGTGTGAGCTATTAATCTTTAAAACTGTGCTCTTCCCAAGAGATGGCCATTTGCTTATCAGGGGAAAATCAAAGCTGCTTGTCATCTGAATGGAGCAATGAAAATACATTCACTTTAACAAGGAACAGAAGCTGCCTATTTGTGATCTGTTTACTTTTAAAGTCTGCTTGATTAAATATTTTGTTAATTTTACTACAGCAAATAAATGACACTGAAGTTTTCCTAAGGAAAGTCATATTTGCCAGTTTTGTTTTCCTATGGTGTGTTGACATTGGAGGCTTAAGAATTTTTCATCCATTTTGACAACGGTTATAGCTATAGTAAAAGCAGTATTACATTATATGTATTTTTTAAGTGGTAAAATATGGAATATCCACAAACTCTTTCCCTGCATTCATCATCATGTTAGCTGAATGTTTAGAGATGCAAATTTGTAACTATTGCCAAATGAGCACCAGTTTACTTCATCACACTCTACATCTGTCTCTTCTTCTGATGGGTGAAGTAACTAATAAATTACTTAAGGGTGATAGGCCTAATATGCCTACACCCACAGCATGGGGCATGGAATATGTAACTTGATATTTGTTGTAAAGAACATAAGGAAAGTCACATTCATTGTCTGAGAGGTGGAAGGTTGAAGTCCACACTGGGAGAAAATGATGCTGGACAGCTTTGAGCACAGATGAGCTGCCCATGTCTCCAAACGTTTTGAATCATATCTTGTCTTGTGGGATTTATGTGTCAGACTGCTCTGCATCAAAATTACAGTATGCTGTCACACAGCTTTTTACTTCTAAGATAGGAAAAGTTTAAGAAGTCAAAGAGAAACGTTTTCTTTCTCAGCTGTAATACTAAGAGGAGCATTGTAATGTTAAGCAAGTGTTTAGGCAGGTCTATGCATAGCTATGCAGCCTTGCCACCAAACATGTTTTCCTGTATCATTTACTGGAGGTGTAAATTCTTTCACTTTCTCTTTGCTATTCCTCCAGTATGCCTACCTTTCTACCTGTCATCTCAATACATTTACCCCCATTCTTTTTAGAAATATGTTTTTATTGAAGGCAAATGTGATATTGTTCCCTCCAGGATTTCAAAACTGTAGCCCTCCATTTTCCCAGGATAGCTGTGAAGACCCTCTAGATGGGTTTTGTAGTGCTTTGTCACCTGAGCCATTCACTATTTCTTTGCTCAACAAGGTTTCTTTCAAAAGGTTATTTTGTTTCTGCATTTAAAGCAAAACAATTTTGTAAATAGAGGAAACATTATAGAACTGAATTAATTAAATACTCCTTTTAACTCATCTTCAGGTTTCTAATTTCTTTCTAGAAGCCATAAATAATTTATTGCTTTGAACACTTGCTAGAATAGAATCTACATTCTTTCAGATGGTGGATTTAGTAGATTCCTGAATCCCACACCATGTTTTGCAGAACTATAATTTCCTTTTAACTTGAACTTTCTCTGGTTCAAGAGGATGCCTCATTGACATGACCTGTGCTGAACAAATAAAATGAAAAAACCCCAATCTTTCTGTACTTTCTGAGGAAGCTGAATCAGCCAGCACACTGGTTCTAACTCCAGTGGCTTTTTCTTGGTTTCGTTTTTTTTCTGTTTTCTTTAAAATATTGGTAATAACTATTCACTGTCTGAATGTTACTGTTAAGTGTGTTCCTAAACCACAATATAGGTAAGTTTTAATGTAAGTTGCTGTAATTTCACACTTGATTTTAGTTACATTTATTTTTTAAGAGGGGAAACCAATAGAATTCAATTACATATAATGTTTAAGATAACATACTTTGTTATGAGAAGAAGTCTCTGCACTAACATTTATTCAAAATGCATGTTTATTATGCTACTTTAAACTTCATTGTATTTAAAATGTATTGTATTTAAAAGAATACAACAAAAGCACACTACTGTCTGTACACCAGTGCCTTCAGATACAGCAATCTGTTGATGGTTAGCTTTGTTAAAGTGAACTGTCCCAGTAACAGTCAATTTTATGGTGCAGCTGGTAAATGTCAAATTGATTTTGTTTCATCCCAGTGGATGATCACTTTTAAATTGGACCAGTGCCTGTTGTGAAATTTCACATCATTAAACTATGCTCCTGAAATGCTGCACTTTCCAGCCCTCTCTGCCTAATACAGGACAGCAACTTCTCTTGTTTTCCTGTTCTTAGTGAACTGAAAATCAGGTATTCTGGAGAATGTCTTTCTAATCATACTGCAAGTACCTCTACACTGGGGAAAAAGTTACACCCTTTGCATTGCCCCTCAGGAGCTCTTCCCAATGCATTGCTATTGCTTATGCAAATCCCATGGAATGGCAGAAGGATGCAACTATTTGTTAGTAAGGCTGCCAATTCATGGAGACTAATATAAACTAATATAAATACTGTTAAAAGATTTTTGCTGTGATGTTATAGTGTACATTACAGATTTTTGGGCTGGAGATGTGCTTGAGTATCATTTTATAAAATGTCAGATTTTTTTTTCTTTTGACAATTGAACTGTGATCAATCCTTTAATACTTGTCTATCAGTTCAAAACTTTTCATTTTAGACTAAATATTTCATAGGCTTCTTTTCATATTATCTGGAATTCATGCTTCTTTTCTTTTACCTACAGCATTAACAACTTCCAGTTTCATCCTACAAACCAGGGAGAATTTTATGTCCTCACAACAGGAAACTTTAAAGAAGCAGTTCTGCTTGGGTTTTATGTGTTTTCCATTGTCACATCATCATCAGAAACAAAAACACAGGAGCTGGTAAATAAATGGTAGCAGAAGAGATATTCTTTTACTGAGATTTTATTTTGCAGAAGCATAATCCATCACTGGCTGTTTTCATTTCTAGGGGATGGTGAATCTGATGTGCTTGAGTAAGCACTCGTGTTCTTGAGTCAAAGATTTCATCACTAAATAAAACTAATCTGAAGACTTAGGCATGTTTTAAGAGTTTTCTATACCCTCTAGTCTATGTGTTTCTGAGAATATACAGGAAAACTGTATCACAATAATGACTTAAAAACTTTGAAAGCCTTTTATTCTTGATTTAGTTAAAAAGTGGCTCACAACTTACATACAGAATGGAATTAGTGAACTTAAAAGTGTCCTCTGGATTTTGTTGTGGTTGGTTTTGTTTTGGTATTTTGCTTGCTTGTGAAAAAATCATTTAACTTTTCTTACAATTTCTGACTGATCAGGTACAATGTACCAAAAGAGGCAAAATGCCTGTGTTTCTATGAGTTTCAGATAAAGTTTTGGACTTTTAAAAGGAACTTTTTAATGTAAACAGTATTTTTAAAGCTGCAAATATTTTGTTTCCATCCAAACATCTCAAAACAATCTTTGAGAATTCTACCCACAGATTGATTACACAATTAAATTTTCTAAAAATCTGGACAGGAGGTGCAGAATAGTGTGTGTTTCTGAGGCTGAGCTAGGAGATACTAGATTCACAGAATCTGAAAAGGGGTTAGCTATCTTTCTGTTACAGTTGTATGCCTACTGGCATCATCCTAGATGTGTACTGAAATAGACAGACCCCCAGAATATGAAGAGGACTTGCCTAGTCACTCATGATTTTAGACCTATTTCAGGTGAAATATATCCAAATGCAAATTACAGCATGAGGTGACAGTGATGAAATTCTCCTAGCCATGAAGTCCTTAAAAGCGAATGGGTAGTATTCATCTGTGGTAATTTTTATCATGATGGAAGAGATATAAGTGATATCCTTAATTGATGCAACTTAAAAAAAATTATAGCCATAAGATACTGCAGAAATAATTTGTTTTATTAGATGGTTAAGACCGTTTCCTAAGAAAAACATGTAATGTTTTCTAATGTAAGAGTGGAGAGAAGTCAGTCTTTTATTACGATGTGCTTTATTTTCAGTAAAGAGATAAGTATTTTGTACTTTGTTATTTTGACTGAGGCATGGTAACTAATCTGTGGCATGTAACAGCCAGCTTGTTATGTGCCTATCACTTCCCTACAGAGCATGCCTGACAATGCAACTATTCTGACTGCTAAATATCACAGGGGCTGTTTCTCAGGAGTGCAATACTTGTGGCCCATCTTTAGCTTAGCACTGCAAAAGCTGCAAGCACTCATAAGACTGCAAATAGACATAAGAAATTAATTGTAAGGTAACTAGGCATATGAATGAAAACCCATCTGCTGCTAGCTGTTCAAGACATGGAAATAACCCTCCTTCCTTCCCCCCTAAACCTCAAAAGCTACATTAAATTCAAAGCCCTTGAATGATCCTATAATCATCATTTCAGTTTTCCAGGTCAAAGAAAGTAAAACAAGAGGGGTCAGCATACAGCCCATAAAGTAATAAGCGAAGCAGCAACACTGGTCTTATTCTTCTTGTGGTTTGAGAAAATGTCTCTTACCTCAGGGAGTGCTTATCCTGTCCTATTGCATAAATAACCAGTCTTTTGCTCAGTTTTAACCAGATCTTTGAATGGAGGAAGATGTTTTCACTCTTATTGATTATCTGCCTGTCTATTTTAATTGGCATTTCTTCCTCTCCTATTCCAATTACTGTTTGCAGTTTTCAAGAAAGAGCAGTACGAATGGAGACATCAGAAAAGTTGAGGGCAGTGCTCCAACATTTCTGAAAATCAGGTCCTGGGTGGTAGAGAGTATCAAATGAGTACTTCATGGAGGAAATGGTGAGCAGAGTTCCACTCATATATTGCTTCCAGCACTGGGTCTGGGTTACTGGGTTACTGCTGTCCTTCATAGTGTGGAGGGCTAGGCAGATGAGGAGTATGGAAGGAGTTGGGTTTAATTCACTGAAACTGTTTGAGGAGGTTATAGAGCCACACATAAATGTCCTTAGAAGACAAAGCTTGCTTAGTCATAGCTTTTCTAGCACAGCTTGTTTCATTTCCTTAAATCATTTTATATGATGCATATACTTTCTGCTTTTGTCTTGCATGAATTTGCCTAGCTTGTGTTCTGGGAGCCTTTTAAATCTGCCTTGAATGTAAGTTTGATTACTTCAGAAGGAAGTTCTTACAAGTAAAACTTGGATTATACAGGAACATATTTGTAAAAAATGCATAACCATTGCAGGAAAGCAAAATACAGCTGCACTCAGATAAGGATTGCTTCTTATTTCAGCTCTAATTTCTAGAGTTTCAGTGGTGGTTACATGAGTAGCTGATTAATGGCAGTGTTCTTTCATTGTGGCTAAAGGAAAGTTTGACTCTAAAGCTTATTAACTAGGATGACTCCTTATTTTAATTTCAAGGAAAATAGCATAAGGATATGCGAGAGATCTCTGTGATCCTATCAGGCTGCTATCTCTCACTCACTTCTGCAGCTGTGGCTTCAAATGAGTGTTCTAAACTCTTCAGGGCTTGTTATGCACTAGCCAACAGCCTAACAGGGAGCCTAGGACTGTCAGTGAAAATCACCTGTAAGGGTAGTACTAATAGGAAATGGAACATTTAATGAACTTTCCCTCTGGGTAAATGAGAAACCCATTCTTTGCTTTTGTGGAGGTCGTGTGCAAATCACTTACATGACATGATATACTTCTGTCCAGTTTACTGGCTGGATTTGTCTTGGATATAAATTCCAGGAGGCCATCAGTCTCAGAAAATAAATGGCTGAAGTTTGTGTTTCAAGCTCACTGGTGATCTGTTACTCTGTAAATATTCCTGGAAGAAGATCAAGTACACAGCAGCCAGGATTGCTATGTATTCTCAAACTGCAAATAAGCAGGCTGGATACATGTTGTGCTGACTCCCATGCGGCAGGGGAATATCGCTGTCTGCTTCCTGATACTTTGTCACATATTGACTGGCTCTTGGGAAAGACCAAAGGAACAAATGTCCATGTTGCTGGCAATTTACTTAGCAGATTTTCCGTGACTGTAACCAAAAGGGATCAGCAGGGAGTCTGCCTAGCCTTTCATCAAGGTTTAGCCCACTTTGCCATCCGACTTTGGCAAACAACCTCTTTCTTGTCGATGCCAGAAAAGTGATACTGCTTGGGATTGCACAAGGCACAGCTACAACATTGGGTTTCAAAGCTGGATGTGGGGTTTGAGTCCGTGCTCTCCATGCAGATGCTTTTCTGTCACTAGCAACATATAATGTTACTATGCTTTTTTATTTATGTAACATGTGAAAGTCTGAAATGGTGTCAAGGTACAGCCAAAGCACAGGCTTAGGGGCAGTCCCTGCTGTCTTCTGGATGAGAAAGAGGTGCCAAGTCAGAAGCATTGTTAACATCTGTATTATATCAAGGGTGATAAGAGGAAAGAGTGGTCAAACTGCCAATCTAAGGAAGCACATAGTGTCCCCAGGTTTTATGCTACACTGCATTCCTGGAGAGGGACTCAAATCTCAGCTCTGGACATCTAGCTGAGAAGTAATGTACCTCCCAGCCATGGCACACATTCTGGTTCTCTTTGCAGAGTTCATGGCTGACCAGATCTCTTGCCAATACTGCAAACAGATGGGGCTGGGTCATCCATCAGTGTTCCAGAAGAGGCAAGTTTTCCTAGAACGGATGTAGCTTTTGACATTCAGGTCAGCTGGGCTGAGAAATGCCCTTCAGGTATATTTACTAGTGTCTGTGCACATGGCAGCTTGGTTGAGGGGATCCTGTCCTGTACAAAATTACTAGGCAGGAATTGGACTGCAGTGTGGGAGTAAAGTCTTCCTACATATTTTTTAAAATGCAAGTGAATTTTTGGATCCAGCAATAGAGCCAAGACCCAGATATGGCTTCCAATATCTTACTTTGCTGCACAAACCAAGATCCTCTAATTTCTTTCCCTCCCATATACTCTGATTGTACTGGGAGAATACAACTGCTAGAGTGTCAGATCTCCTCAGGGAGATTTAAAATTAACACGAGGCAGTGATGCCATCCAAGTGGCACCATGGCCTCCTGCCAGAACAAGGCCTTGGGGATCTTGTTAACACATTCTGTCCATCTTCCTGCCAGGTTCTGCTTGGCAAGTTTAGTTGCAGCATCACATGGAAGAGGAGTGGAAGTCCTAAGGATAAACCCTTATAATTTTTATGGAAGTTAGTATCCAGGTAGAATAGAGAACAAAATTAGTGATTCATCTAGGAATTAAAACAAAAGTGCCCTTGATCAGTTGGCAGCAGCTGGTTAGTGGAGCAGTGAGGTTCCAGCACCACTCTGGCTGGTGTGCACCAACCTGTGCCAGGGCCAGCTTGGACCAAGCACTGTGTGTGCTCTGAACTGATGAGGATGCACGCAAGTCTGGGAGAAGCTGGTTTGCTTTGGTAGTTGGTGGAACATTTAGGAGACAAAATCCACAGGCCTGCAGGAAACCAGGATAAGGTAGCTTTTTGACCAATGCACCTTAAAAAAACCCAAAAAAAACCAAACAAAAAACCCAAAAAAACCCAACAAAACAACAACAACAAAAAACACCCAACAAAACAAAAAAACAACTACAACAAAAAATACTAATGACAAGATGACAAGCTGAGCTCCAATTTTATTGCTGTCACCTCCCAAGGCTGCTAAGAGGATTTCTGTGCTTTGTGATGATAAAACTGTTTCTTTAACAAGAAGAAACAAGAAGTCTCTAGCAAGTTCTAGCAAGTCTTTGTGCCACTTCCTTTTATCTTGTCCCTTCATCTTTATTTCCTTTTCTTGTATTGAAAGGGATTTGCTCTGCACTATCTGCTGTGAACTTTGACTGTAGTAAACCACCTGCATATAATAATCACCTTTAGAAACAGGAATTTTGCCAATATTTACTCAAAATTGAGAAACTGCCATTTTTTTTATTTCCTCTTTGCAAATCTCAAGTACATAAAATAAGGAAATAATATAAGGAAATAAATAATGATGTCTTACATAGCTGTGAATTAACCTTCTAAATACCAACTTTTCAAGAAACTTGTGTATTGTGTGCATGTTTATAACA